GTAAAGCAGATTCAGTGAATAATAGATTTATGTGTGCGTATACACAGAATATTAGTATAAATATATATATGATTTTGACTCATGAAGGAGAGACCACCTTTTTAACAGCTGTGTGACCATGCTTTTCAGCTACAGCTGGGGAGAATTTGTCCTTGTTGGGGGTGGGTAGTCTTGCCTGTATGAGAAAAAATAAACTGCATTGTTTTGTAAATGTAATTGCCTAAACTAATCAATTTGTGGAGTGTTTTTCAGCTTTATTATTCAGGACTAAGGAATTACTGGACATATGCAGGAACTGGTAACAAATGAACTGAAAAAATGGTAAAATAATTCCTTTGTCCTATTTAGTCTGAATATTTTAACAAGTTAGCATTTTTAACAAAGTAAGTGTAGGGGCTCAGATTAAGATTTATATTATTTTAGAAGCCATTTATAACTGATTTTAATATTTCCATGCTTTGAATTAGGGTGTATCTGCCTAGCGGGTGAACCTCCATAACGTGGGCTGTGATTTTAGTTACAGTAGCGGTGGGGAACCTGAGCTAGGGGGTATTTAAACGTGTCCGGATAAGGGGGAGCATACCCAATAGTTGTTGTGCAGTTCTATCCTGTATTATTATTATTTGAAACCCTGTATTACTTATAAGTAGCGTTTTGTAACTTATTTGTAATTGTTTATATATATTGCTCTGGGAAAGGGATAGGCAAAATCTCTGAGAGACCAGGAAATATATTTTAAAAAGGGCGTATTACACTAGTGGTAGGGTGGCCTATCATGACCATAGAGACCCTTGGTGACTAGTTTTTGTTGTATATTGCCCTGGGAAGGGGATACGCTATTTAATAGAAATTCCTGAGAGACCAGGAAATATACAATAATTGATACGTGAGTGTACTGGTTAAATTGCAGACATATTGGCCCAGAACCTTTAATCGAGCCGGAAAAGAGGCTGCTGCATGTTTGCTCCGCTATAATTTTGCGGGGGCGGTCACCCCCATGCGGAAAGCCACTGCCATCACAGGGTGGTTAGTTGTGCAGGCCCTTAGCCGCGAGGTGCAAGCATGTCCGTGGAAAGGCTAGAAATTAATAGGGAGTCACTCATAGCTGTCAGAAGTGTTGAACTTTGAGACATATTGACCTATATCCTTTCAGAGGCGGAAGAGGTGTTGTGGTTCACTCCTCTATAATTTAACCAAAGGGTGGAAAGTTATTAAACATGTTTAAGTTGGCTAGAAATTTGTTACTCATAAGTCCATTTAAAAATCCTGTATTGCTTAAAAGTTTGTGTCAGTTTTATATTGCCCTGGGAAGGGGATTAGCTATTGTATATCCCCGAGAGACCAGGAAATATAAAATAAGTAATACGTGGGTGTATTGTGTATCTGCCTAGCGGGTGAACTGCCATAACGTGGGCTGTAAACTTAGTTACAGTAGCGGGTGGGGAACTTAGGCTAGGGGGTACAGAGCATATCTGCCTAGCGGGTGAACTGCCATAACGTGGGCTGTAAACTTAGTTACAGTAGCGGGTGGGGAACTTAGGCTAGGGGGTACTGAGCATATCTGCCTAGCGGGTGAACTGCCATAACGTGGGCTGTAAACTTAGTTACAGTAGCGGGTGGGGAACTTAGGCTAGGGGGTACTGAGCATATCTGCCTAGCTGGTGAACTGCCATAATGTGGGCTGTAAACTTAGTTACAGTAGCGGATGGGGAACTTGGGCTATGGGGTACTAAGCATATCTGCCTAGCGGGTGAACTGCCATAACGTGGGCTGTAAACTTAGTTACCGTAGCGGGTGGGGAACTTAGGCTAGGGGGTACTGAGCATATCTGCCTAGCGGGTGAACTGCCATAACGTGGGCTGTAAACTTAGTTACAGTAGCGGGTGGGGAACTTAAACTAGGGGGTACTGAGCATATCTTCCTAGCGGGTGAACTGCCATAACGTGGGCTGTAAACTTAGTTACAGTAGCGGGTGGGGAATTTAGGCTAGGGGGTACTGAGTATTGGACTTTTAGTGTTGTGTACTCCTGAATTGCAAGGAAGATGCAGAAAACAGCTATTAGCTGATTGTTTATTTTAAGAGCCGAGTAGAAAATTAAGAAAGTTACCTTGTTGAACAAATTGTTTATAAAATTAAAAGCTGAAGGAATGTGTTTACATGTCTGTGTGTGTATATATATATATATATATATTCTAAGTAAAATATTTGCAGTATACGCTATAAGTGACTAGGAAAGTAATCCTGATCTGTTTCCTAACCTTTTCAGATGTAGCAGAAACCAGAGGTGGACATTGGAACACAGATAGAATATCAGATGGAGACCAGTGTTTAAATGTTGACCTTTGATGAGCTATTGAATGTTTTATTTTATTGTCTATTTAACATATCTATGCTATGATTTTGTGCATACTATTCTCTTATTTCTAGTGATTGTATTGCAATTGAAACCCTTATGTATTATTGTTGTATGTATGTATGTATGTATGCTTGCCTGGGAAAGGGGGGAATTGACCCATAGGGACCAGGGGGTATTTTTGTGTAAACCAAACTGGGGTGGGAGGGCTCTAACGAGGGAACCCCATTGTCCAGTAGGTGCTTGATTTGTGTCTGTGTAAAGTGCATGAGTGGTTGCAGTTAAACAAAAAAACAAAAAAAAAAAAAACGGAAGAATGATAAGAGGGATAAGAGAAAGTAGGCATTTTGGGTTATCTATACATGTTTAAATAGAAGGGTGGTAAATAGGAATGTAATTGTTTTGGTTAATGTTTAGATTAAATTGGTTAAATACAGCAGTGATAATGAGTGTTTGGGTTAAATTGGTAGATACAGCAGTGATATTGTGTTTATCTGTGAATCAGGAGTGTGCTGGATGTGAAGAGAGGTGTGTAGGTATTTATCCAAACGCCATAGGAAAAAATATGGTTAAGACACCACAATCAAATGGTACTTGTGATGATTGGCACAGTTATTATTTATGTTTGTGTTCGTCATTGCCTGTGTTTTCATTCAAGAACTTTCAAGCAAGGATATTTTAAGCTGAAGAAGAAGCAGCACTGGACACTATGCTCAATTGTTGCTGTAAGGAGAAAAAATATTGCAGCTAAGAGTGGTGAGAGTCGGAACAAATGCATCAGGAGCAGGACACTGTTACGTCAAGGTGGTTAATGGTATAAAGAAAGAAGAAACAAAACAATGTGACCACAAACACACAAAAGTCCTTGATCACATGAACTGTTTCATTCATCCCTGTCTCCATGCTTATGTTCTATGAGACTGTCGAAGAACAGAGTATCCAGTTTCCAGGACTAATGTTTGTGAAAATTCCAGGCACACAGACCAGCCCGAGGCTACAGAAATCGAGTCGGTCTGTGCCATGATTCATAGGTGTTATGCGTTTGTGGTGTCTAATACTATATTAAGCTCCAAAACACATCCTCACATGAACACAATATCATTGGTTAATCTAATAAAACATGGTTTGAGTTGTCTATTATTACAAGGGTGGGTATTTGCCTATTTAAGGCCAAGGTTTCCCAACTGCTAATGCATGTGCTCAGTTGTTATTATAAGGGTGGGTATGTGCTTATTTTAGGCCAAGGTTTCCCAACTGGTGATGCATGTGCTCAATGAAAAAAAAAAAAAAAAAAATTGAATAAGCAATAAAGTGTCATAACTTTACGGGTAAATGGGTATCATTCTTCAAAAGGTGGGTTTTGTTGTAGGGCAGGTACTGTTAAAATAGGGTAGATTCAAGATGTACGGGTTTATAATGTTTGTTTTATGACATAAGTCAAAGGGTGGTTTGTAATGGTATTTATTAATTAATGACTTTTTGTCATAAAAAAAGCATAATGAGCTTAATGCTTTAGACGCACCACTAGATGTCAGTAAAGCATATTTAGTGTAATGCTTTGGGGGCACCACTAGGGGGAGTGTGTAGGAAGACCTGTGCTTCTGGCAGTGACATCACAGGCCAGCCTACTTACACTGAATAAAACCCAGATGTGAGGAGAAGCGAGCTCTCTGTTTGCCTGTACCTGACTGATCATGTAGCACCAGCTCTGACTTAGCCCCAGCCCTTTGGCTGGGGCCTTGTAAGTAATATGATAGCAATTGTAATAGCCTTTTGTGTAACATGTAGCAACCTTTTGTAAGTAATGTTGTAGTTTTGTATTGTGTAATTATTGTGGTAAATTGACATTCTGCTAGCATTTGTTTAATTGTTATTATAATTATATTAAATATACATTTAATACTACAATGTTTTGTGTATTTCCTATTATATATTCGACCATAATACCGAACTCTATTAATGTTGTTATTTGTTGCTTAATTATATATTAATTATTAAATTAATATTAATATTTAAGTCACGACCATAACACCTCCTCCTTTGGACTCACACAGATTTCTTCCTCAGCAACTCACACTGCAGGAAACATTCTTGACCTCATCTTCACCAATCTCTGTACTACCTCTGATCTCGCCACTGCTCCATTTCCTTTGTCTGACCACCATCTGCTAACATTTAACATCTGCATACCCCATACCAAAATCTCACCACCATCCACTCTCCAACCTCGCAGAAACCTCAACTCTCTCGATCTCCAGCACTTCTCCACTAAACTCCAAACACTCCTTTTACCCATCTCAAATCACAACTGCCCTAACTCTGCAACCTCACTCTACAACTCCACTCTCTCCTCTCAACTTGACATCATGGCACCTCCTACAGTTAAACGCAGCAAGCGCCCCCAACTACAACCCTGGCACACCAAGCTGACCCGTTACCTCCAAAAATGTTCCAGAACTGCTGAACGCTGCTGGAGAAAGTCTCACTTTGCATCTGACTTTGTCCACTATAAATTTATGCTGCGCTCCTACAGCATGGCTCTTTCCTCTGCAAAAGTAAGCTACTTCAACACCCTCATAAGCACACTGTCCCACCAACCCAAACACCTGTTTCACACTTTTGATGCACTTCTTCGCCCTGTGACTCCCCCTCCTTCCACCACCTTGTCCGCCACAAACTTTGCATCTCATTTCACTGAGAAGATCTCTACAATCAGGAAAGAGATCTCTAATCTTTCTCCAACCAGTATCAATACATCACCCAACCCCACTCCCCCTGTCATCCTAAGCTCATTTGCACCTGCTACAGCACAAGGTTTCTGCTCTGCTCCTGTCCTCCCGCCCCACCACCTGCTCCCTTGATCCTATTCCCTCGCATCTCATCCACACTTTGTCTCCTCTCGCTAACATTTTCAATCTCTCCCTTTCCTCTGGCACATTTCCCTCTGCCTTCAAACATGCAACCGTAACCCCAATTCTGAAAAAGCCCAACCTCGATCCCAACTCCCCATCCAACTACCGCCCTATCTCGCTACTGCCATTTGCCTCCAAGATCCTCGAGAGAGTTGTCTACGCCAGATTGACAGACTTTCTTGAATCCAACTCTCTGCTTGACCCCCTTCAGTCTGGATTCCGCGCTGGTCACTCTGTCGAAACTGCTGTGACCAAAGTATCCAACGATTTAATTGCTGCTAAATCTCGCGGCCAATACTCTATCCTAATCCTCCTTGATCTTTCTGCCGCCTTTGACACTGTTGATCATCAACAGCTTCTTCACATTCTCCGTAACTTTGGTCTACGGGATTCTGCTCTCTCCTGGTGCTCCTCCTACCTCTCCCAGCGCTCCTTCAGTGTTTCTTTCTCTGGCTCTGCCTCTTCTCCCCAACCCCTCCCTGTCGGCGTCCCCCAAGGTTCTGTCCTCTGCCCCCTACTGTTCTCTATCTATACTGCCTCCCTTGGTAAACTCATCAGCTCTTTTGGCGTCCAATACCATTTATATGCAGATGACACGCAAATCTACCTGTCCTCCCCTGATCTCTCTCCGCCCACCTTGACTCGTGTTTCTGACTGCCTCTCTGCTATTTCCAACTGGATGGCTGCTCACTTCCTTAAACTCAACCTGTCCAAAACAGAACTTCTAGTTTTTCCTCCCTCAAGTGCTGCTACTCCTGTGTCTGTCGCCATCCAAGTCAACGGCGCTACTATCACCTCTACCTCCCAGGCTCACTGCCTAGGAGTTCTTTTTGATTCTGATCTCTCTTTTACTCCCCATGTTCAATCGATAGCCAAATCCTGTCGCTTCCAACTCAAGAACATAGCGCGCATCCGCCCATATCTAACGCCGGACGCGGCTAAAGTACTGGTTCATGCTGTTGTTCTCTCTCGCCTTGACTATTGCAATCCCCTTCTCACCGGTCTTACATGTTCCCAGCTTGCACCGCTGCAATCTATAATGAATGCGGCTGCGAGGCTTATTTTCCTGTCCGGTCGCACCTCCCACGCCTCCACGCTCTGTCAGTCCCTGCATTGGCTTCCAGTTAGATATAGGGCCCAATTCAAAATTCTGGCGCTTGCTTACAAATCCCTACATAATGCTGCTCCAACATACCTATCCTCCCTCATACACAAGTATGTCCCGTCGAGACCCCTGCGCTCAGCCCAAGACCTACTCCTATCCTCTGCCCGGATCCCCACCTCTGATGCTCGCCTTCAAGACTTCTCCAGGGCTGCACCTATTCTGTGGAACTCCCTTCCCTCCTCAATCAGACTTTCACCCAGCCTCCACTCCTTCAAAAAATCTTTGAAAACTCACTTCTTTATTAAAGCGTATCAATTAAACTGTCAGCAGGTTTCTCATCCCCCACCCCATGACTCCGTTCCTTCACCTGTCAAAAATGACCTACCAAGCACTCAATAAACCCTTCTGTAACAAACTATTTAATTCCCCTACTTTAACCCTTTGTGTCACTATCACTATAACCCACTCCCTCTAGCATGTAAGCTCATCGAGCAGGGCCCTCAACCCCCTCTGTTCCTGTACATCAGTGGTCTGATCTCAATTATGTGTCTGTTAGTCCACCCATTGTACAGCGCTACAGAATTTGTTGGCGCTATATAAATAATAATAATAATAATAATAATATAAATATATACATACATATACATACATATATATACATACATATACATATACATTTATACGTATATATATATATACATTTATACGTATATACATTTATACACATACACATATATATATATGTTTTAAGGCCATTTGGCCTGTATTTGTGGGAGGGGCTTAAATTAATTCACTCCCCTATATAAGGGACACCCCTTACCTGACTCATATCGCTTGAGGTCAGCATCAGAATGATTTCCACTTTCGGGTCATCCAGACGCCATTTTACCTGATTACTCCATGAGGTTTTCTAAGCTGAGCTGTGTCAGGAATTCAGCCACAGGCTTTTCCGGCCTTCCACATTCTTTCTTCAATCTATCGCTGTGGATGGTGTCCAAGTGACTCACAAACCGTAAGTCGACCTACCCGTTACGCCAGGCATCAGTCCCACGGGACCATGCACGGGTCAGGTCCTCACTTTACGGCTGCATTTTGTCTAAATCTGTCCTAAAACCATTGGATGTTCATGCATATCATTAGTTTAAATTCACTTGTTTATATCTGTCACTGGCTCATTTCGAGCATTAGCATACTTCCAAAAGGGAACACATTCTGTTTCAATTGCCTAAACATACTAGGCAATTCTGTGCGTGCATTTCGAATCTCACTGCTCGTTTCGTTTTGTTTCCCTGGCATACCAGGCTCACGATTCGTGCAATTTTCTACCAAACGGGTACTAGTTCATGCATTTACTATTGTACTACACACACGCTTCGTGCGTTTACAACCCACGAACAGAACTTTGGTTTGTTACAATGACTGTTATTAAGCTATTATGTTCACTTATTGTATATTGTCAAACGGGCACTTTGTTTCCCTGTCACACAACTATAATGCTGGGGCATAGCTCACAAACAATGTTTCACATAAACCACACTGACCCCTACAGGTCACTCAAAATCTCACGTTAACCTTGCATTTGGATTAACCCCTTAAGGACCAAACTCTGGAATAAAAGGGAATCATGATATGTCACACATGTCATGTATCCTTCAGGGGTTAAAGGGTATTTTACCATACAATCAGCATTTCTGACCCCTACTGGTCAACAGCAAAACTGTCTTCACATGTCTTATACAATTTACCAGCCAATATAAATTACACATAAGATTGTTTTAAACATAACTATAGACCATAAATTAAACTCCAACACGGGCTCAACTTCAGGTTTAATTCACAATAATTTATATTTCACATTAAGACTAACAGTGGTTCTATCAACACTGCCACCTACAGGTCTGTCAAGTACATTGACAATTTTCATGGGGTTTTACAAACACCAAAACACTGACCCCTATAGATCAACAGACAAACAACATTTCACATACCAATCGGTATCAACTACACTGCCACCTATAGGGCACTCGGCAGATCTCCAGTGCACTTGCATTTTGCAACTCCATGTTCACTTGCCATTCAATAAGGCATACAACAATTCACATAGCAAGCAGTATATCAATATCTGTTATAAATACACATATTATTACACAGTAGCACACGCATCTGTATATACGTAACTAGTAATATGGTTCACATACATACGGCACTTAATGGGTTAAGATTGATACATATTTAACCAGTATGGATATGATGTTTAATATTTACATATCACGGCACTTTACTTTAACATATACTGTATGTTTTAAGATAAGCTTGGTCTATGCCATATTTCCTTATGCCATACGATTTTATCCATTCAGGTTACAGTTACTACTAAAAAACCTATAAGGATTGTCAGGTTCAATACCATGCTACCAGGTACGTACACCTGCTCACGTAGTTATCCATCTCTTACCTTCCCTGGAATAGTAATAGTGTACCAGCAATTAGGGTTCTAGGGCCCAATAGGTATTACCCCCTTTTTTCTCTGCATTATGCTTCAGTTAGTGGTCCCGCGAGGCCAACACCCCGCTTCACACTCGGAGGCATACACCCCTTGGGCCACTCGTGAGCTAGCCGCCTCGCATTCTATCATAGATAGGGCTTCACCTGTCACTCCCCTTCCTATTTTTCTGGTTACTGTCACCGAGAGGCCAACATCCTGCCACAACGTTCGGTGGCCACACAAAATCCCCTCGCGCCAAGCATAGATAGAGCCTCTCAAGCCACTTGGCAACTAACAGGGCCTCACCAGTCACCAAATAACACCAAGCCTAATCGTTTCGCCTTACGGCTTAGCTAGCATGCCGGTACAAGACCCCTGGGTACAAATATCTAATTGCAATCTTTATTGTTATTTAAGTATTTCTCAAAAAGATGGTGAAGAATCACCTCTTCCTAGCACCACGGCTAGAAGTGATACACCTTCATCTCTTACCTTCCCTGGAATAGTAGTAATGTACTGGCAATTAGGGTTCTATGGCCCAATAGGTATTACCCCCTGTTTTCTCTGCTTTACGCTTTGGTTAGTGGTCCCGCGAGGCCAACACCCCGCCTCACACTCGGAGGCATACACCCCTCGGGCCACTCGTGAGCTAGCCGCCTCGCATTGTATCATAGAGAGGGCCTCACCTGTCACTCCCCTTCCTATTTTCTGGTTACTGTCACCGAGAGGCCAACATCCTGCCACAACGTTCGGTGGCCACACAAAATCCCCTCGCGCCAAGCATAGATAGAGCCTCTCAAGCCACTTGGCAACTAGCAGGGCCTCACCAGTCACCAAAAAACACCAAGCCTAATCGTTTCGCCTTACGGCTTAGCTAGCAAGCCAGTACAAGACCCCTGGGTACAAATAATAATTGCAATCTTTATTGTTATTTAAGTATTTCTCAAAAAGATGGTGAAGAATCACCTCTTCCTGGCACCCCGGCTAGAAGTGATGCACCTTCAAGCAGAGGAGATGTGGCTCCGACCTAAGGAGGCGACAAATCCCCTACCCTGCCACAGCAAGGAAAGCAGAGTTATTCAAACTCCTCCATACATCAACGGACAACACGGAGGCAGGGGAAGGCCCAGCAACACCAACTCAGGTGACACCCAGGCCATGCTAGCCTCACTCATAAACTCATGAGCCAAAAAATGTACGACAGACTGGCAATCTCGAGTCAGTCACAGCCCTCACAAGGCTGGGCCTCACGCTACTGTACAACCAGCACCAACCGAAACTCGGTTACTTGGTACAAGACGTTAACCCTGCACATATGATCCCGGCACATTGGGGAAGCAAGGCATATATATGTATGATGATGTATCTATGATGGTCAGACCCAGGGATTCTAGGTAAATTGGGAACTGACCATCCCTTGGTTGTGTTGGCATTTGGAATATGTAGAGATGCTTATTTGTGCAGGTACCCATCCAGAAGGGATTTTCTCCCAAACAAACGGGTGAGCACTC